ATTGTGACTATGATGATTAATATGTATGAAGAAATTATTGTAATAATATTTTTCTAAATATATAAAATTATTTATGATAGGTTATAATTCACCTGTGCACGGTATCTGTTATTTGTTGACTCTGCAGCAGCAGCAGCCGCCGACCCTGCTGGAAGGACAAGGGGGAAGGTCAAAAGGCCGTCGTTGCAGACCGCAGGGCAAAGAAGCACAAGCCTTTCCCGCAAGCGCTCCCGGCGGCTGCTGCTGTAGCCCTGCAAGGCGAGGCGTGTGCTGAGCCGAGGCGTGTGCTGAGCAGGGAGGGCGCAGCAGCCGTCAAGCCACAGCCGGTTTATGGTGACTCCCCGTGAGGTTTCCTTGGCAGGAGGCGTTCAGAGGTCGTTTGCGAGGGCCCGGCTCTGCGTCAGGAGGACCCTGGTGTCTCTTGGACGTCTCCCGGCCGAGGACTAGATCGGAGATCAGGCTAGGCTGGGCTACCCGGCCGGGTCAGGGCCTGCTTAGTACAGCGCCATAAATCTCTCTGCTCCCACACCTCACGACACACGCTTGGGATTTTCTTAGTAAAGCTTGAAAATTACGTGTGACTTATGTATTAGTTCTATTTTTTCCACAAACCAGTGTTTGAGAAACCAGAAAAGTGTCATTGTCTCAGAAATGAGGTGGGTCAGGGCCCTTCCTTCCTTCCTTCCTTCCTTCCTTCCTTCCTTCCTTCTTCTTATAGCCCACCCTACCCCTGCACAGCAAGGCTTGATGGGTAACAATAAGAGCCAACAATACATTAAAACCGGAGGGTTTCCAGCGGAGGGATTTGGGGGCTGTTCCAGGGGTGGGCAGGGATGTCATCGGGGTGACGCTCTACTTTTTGGGCAAAACTCTATGGTAAAAATGGCTACAAACCATGGAGTTTTGCTGAGAAAGTAGAGCGTCGCCCCTGACGCAATGCCGTCCGTTCCGGAAGTGACATCATCGCATCGCTGACATCACCAAGGGATGTTGGTCGAAGTTAACAACTCCCCGTTACACCTGGCCTTTTAAATAAAATATTTTGTTCTGTTTGACTTTTACATTGTCTCAAGTGCCATTTGAAGGGGTTCAACTCAAGAGGGCTCCTTATTCTTCCCTCAGGTTCCAGGACTGGGCTAAAAGCCAAATTATATTTCTGTGACCGGATGGGACAGGCAGTCTTTTAAAGACAAAGAAGAAAAAACCACATTATTTGGGGCAGCTCAGTCACAGAAGGGAACAAAATTTTGGAGGGAAAATCTACCTCTGAGGGAGGGAAGTGTGAAGGGCCGTCATACCAGCGTTTTCAATCTTGCACTGAAATCCTTCTGAAGTTGTTTTTTTTTAAATTGTTTCTTAACTTTTCTGTGCTGGCATTTAAGGATGTGTTGGTTTCATTTATATTTTATTAGACAGCTTGAATGGAACAGATGTGTAACCAGAATGCAACATAATGCCTTACACTGAATCCAACCATCAGACTATCAAGGTGAATTCTGTCTGACTGACATACTCCAGGATCTCATAACACCTACTACCTATTCCTTCTAACTGGAGATTGCAGCTATGCCCATCCACATGCAACACAGGTGATCTATCGCTGAACCACAACCCCACCTCAGGTACTTGCTGACATTAATATCATATAAGAAAGTAGGGTGCAAACGTTGTAAATAAACAAATTCCAATATTGTCATCATTTCCCTCTTTTACGTCAGGACTTCACATTCTCCTTCCCTACCTCTGTAATAGTTCTGCTTCTCATCCCATTCTCTACTGTGCCTTTCTTTCTTCTGTCGCCTGCCTCTTTCGTTTTTCGAGCTCTCAGCTCCGTGCCTATACACACAGCTCCTCGTGTGCCTGTGGGCAAGTTGGTTTCTTTGTCATTGCCAAGGTAAAACACAGAAACTGTACTTTCAAGAAAGTAGCTACCAGTCTCAAGCTTCTGTTGCTAATAATTTCCATCTCAGAAGATAAGAGTATTTCTGGAAAATTCCAGGATATCCCAGCTGAGCCACTGGTGGATGAAACAGATGGATGGTTACCAAAACCAAACAAAGGTTAGTGGAAAGGAGGGCCAATATTAAAACCTTTACATAAAAAGAGGTACATGTATTTATTAATAATATCAAATTAAAACATATATAGGTCCTTGTTGAATTTATAGTTTGTATGTATTCCTGATTGTGTTTTTATGAATGTAACTATTTACCATCTAGCCACACTTGTATGACCTCTGAGGAAGGCCGATTCGGCCGAAACGCGTCAGGTCAACTCTTTTAGCCCTGGTTATGGTTATGTTTTATATATATTGGTTATAATTGGGCCCCTATATATGTTTTAATTTGATATTATTAATAAATACATGTACCTCTTTTTATGTAAAGGTTTTAATATTGGCCCTCCTTTCCACTAACCTTTGTTTGGTTTTGGAGTTCTTTGTTAGGTTTAGTTTCTTTCCCTTTTTTGTTCTTGACAGATGGATGGTTAGACATGGTAGTCCAGGACCGGCTGAAGGATCGTCTTTTCCCATATATTTCTGCCTGACAATTAAAATCACAGAGAGAGCCCTGACCTGGATAGCCCCGGCAAGCCCAATCGCGTCAGATCTCGGAAGCCAAGAAGAGTCGACTCTGACAAGTACTTGGATGGGAGACCTCCAAGGAATACCAGAGGCGGGAGGCGGGGGCAGGCTTTATTCAGCCACCTCTCTGAATATCCTCCAGGCCCCCAGTAGGGGTCAGTCACCAGAGGTCACTATGACTTCCAGGTGCACACACAGTCACCAGAGACTGCCATGGCTTCCAGATGCACTCATGCGCACATACACCTATAAAACACGCACACAAAACAGAGAGAGGCCCTGTTGACTGTCCCACCAATCAAAGAAGGTCATCAGGTGGGCACACAAAAGAGAGGCCCCTTTCAGTGGCAACCCCACAGCTATGGGACAGCCCACCCAAGGAGGTGTGCCTCTTTCCTTCAGTTTTGTTCTTCAGGAGGCAGCTGAAGACAGTTTTATTGAAGGCTGTTTATTTAGAACTGCGATTGACTAATTTAGTTTTTATTTATAGGCAGTCCTAATTGAGATTTTAAATTGTGGCCTTTTGTATGTTTTATTTACAGTGCAAGCTACCTTGAGTTCCACAAGACAGGAAGGCAGTAATAAACATTTTAAATAAATAAATGCAGATAAATGTTAATTGCAGCGAGGCTTGTTATTGTTGCTCTCACTATTCTATGCTTGATGCTCCTTCAAAAAAGGGTTCCTGACTTCCCTCCCCCCCCCCCCCCCCCCTATATCCATTCTAAAGGTAAAGGTAAAGGTTCCCTTGCTCGAAAGCCCATCGAATCCGACTCTAGGGTTGCGGTGCTCATCTCCATTTCAAAGCCGAAGAAGCCAGCGCTGTCTGAAGACGTTTCCGTGGTCATGTGGCCGGCATGACACCAAGGCGCACAGAACGCTGTTACCTTCCCACCGAAGTGGTACCTATTTATCTACTTGCAATTTCTTGCTTTCGGAGCTGGAACTAGAGATGGGAGCTCCCTCCATCATGCGGCACCCCGGTCTCGAACTGCTGAACTACTGATCTTCCACAGCCTGCAGTTCAGCGTCTTAACCACTTGAGCCACCGCAGCTCCTAATATCCATTCTACCATGACCATAACTAGGACTCTCAATGCTACTATTGTTGGAGGGGAAAGGAGTTAGCGATCATTTGCGTATGTATTTACAGTTCAGCTGTCTTTATCACAATACAAGCCCATGGATGTATAAAACAAAATGCCAATACCTTAAAGTGATAACATCAAAGCACAGAAATATAGTATACCCAATACCCATTGTTAGCGGAAATCGTTAACTCTGAAATTAAAAATCTGAAG